TACTTGTTTGCTGAAGGTAAATAAAACAGTGGAATCAATAAATGAAATTCCATCTGCGGTTTTTGAAACATCAATTATGCGTCAGTCACAAAAGATTAGTTCAGCTTTCCAATTTAGTTTCTTTTTTGTGGCCCCCAAATTCATTGTCAGGAAATAGGCGGGTTCAGTCTTCCAGTAAGGGCTTCGTTTCCCAGTAATGCCTCCCTCTCACTGTGCTTTAGCCCTGGGGGAGGGATTGACACAGGAGAAGGTTAGTCTTTCTTTACCTGTGAGCCATGAGCAAGCACAGTCATTATCTGTCACCCAGCTCCACATCCATCATGTGTTAAAATTCCTCATACACCTGGTCATTCTGTTGAAAAGCCATTCCTGTTCGTACTTTTTGGTATTTTCATTTTTGGTATTGATGTGAAGTGGAAATCCTCTTAATCTCTGTTTACATTTTTGTTCTGTTAATCCCCAACTGATTATCCAGTGCAAATTTACAAAATACACAAGCTGCTTTAGTGTGTGTACGAAGCTTTCTTGGAGCCTGCCAGTTTATTTAGAAATGTGTTGTTTCTTCAACTTTGAGTGTACCCTGGGCGTTGACGCTACTATTGTTCTAACCTCAAGTTTGTGTTGTCAAACAGTTGGTTATGTGAACAGCAAGAAAAGGCCTGGGTACTATTTTAACTGCTATTGTCCAGCAAAGCAACAACAAGATATTTCTGTCTTTTGGTTTCATGGGTTGTGGGAGCTAGTTACTGGAGAGGCCAATAGAGTAGTTTAAGGCACACTTCAAGGCTTTGTTTCAGTGCTGCTGCAGCACAGTTTGCTATTATCCTTATTTTTTACTTTATCATTTTAGTTTGCAATCTCACAAAAACAACTGGCTGGTTTGTTCTATAATTCTTTCCATAATTTTACTGTCTTTGGAATCTAGACTATTTACTAGACATTTCCACTCATGCAAGCCCAGAGCGTACATATGTGCAGTCAGCTGGTCATCAGCTGTAGCCTTTGTGGTGTGTTCAAGTGCAACTCTTAAGAGAAGACAGAAGGTGCTGCATCTGCTTTTGTCTGTGTGCTAGTGTTGAAGATTGGCTTGTGTCAGGGTCCTTATGCCATGAGGGGACTGGCTAGTACAAGTTAGGCTGGATTCACACAGACATTTTTCTGTGTCACAGTGAAGTAGGGTGCTGTGCTGGTGTGTTGGTGAGACGACGAGTGATCCATGAAGTCCAGTAGGAGGACCGGGTTTGTGCTGAAAAGCTTATCAGATGCCACAGCACATTGGTTTGTAATACTTGCAGACAGTATTTTACAAGTGTGGAAAGTTATCACAGCAGCAATTCATTTATATTTGCTTATGACAAGGTAATCCTTGAAGTTCCTGTTAAAAATTAATCCACCAGAAACTGTACTCGCATGGATTGGATTGGATTGGTAGGGACGTAACGATACCAAATGCCCATGGTATGATATTGCCAGGACTAAAATGTCCACGATACAATATGTTGCAATATTAAAAAAAGATGAAAAATGCCTTTTAAATAAATCAGTGTTTATATGCTCTTCATTTTAACTTGCTCCTGCTAATTTCAGGCAGTGTTGAATTACAATTTAACAAAAAAAATCTTCTTTGCTATGGATAAAAATGTTTTATTTTGTTTGCTTCATGTTGACTTCATCAACTGCAATGGAGAGAGAGGGAGAACTTTTTTTTTTTTTTTGACCTTATAGATGTTATGGAACAAAGATGTTTTATTTGATTTGGCTTGAGTTTTCTAGCAGTTCTGTGCCCACAGATGCATCATTAATTTTGGAGTTAGCTCACTGTTAATTTAATGGAAAATGATTTGGGAACA